AGAACTTGAAGGTTGGCCACACAGGGAGTGCAATTCAAGCCTGGTTTTCGAAAGACCATATTTTTTTAAAAAAAAATCCAAATCTCTGTTTTGAAACCAGGTGAAAAGATCTCTGAACCTCCTTCCTACCATCCCAAGTCTTCTATTAATACCTGTAATTGCACTGGCCTAGCAGGGACCAGGGCATGCAGTGGAAGGCAGGGCTGGATGAGGTTCTGAGATTCACGTGGGGGAATACAAGTTTCCAAGGGACTAGAAGCATTTTGGATGTCATTCCATGTCATGGATGGTTTCTGATAGCTCCAGCAGAAGAGCACGGGATGGGGAGCAGAGCCAGACAAGTCAAGGAGGTGATTATGTCAATCATCCTTCATTCATGTGTAGTTTCTTCAAGATAGCAATTGAACACCAGGCCCTCTTCTAGGCTCAGGGGAACAAAGCCAAGTTCCTACCCTCGTGAAGCTTATGTTTTATTAGGGAGAAATAGATCATAAACAAGTAGTGTGGTAAGTCAGTTGTAGAGGTGATTCAAGTACGTTCGATGAAATATAGATAAGGATACAATGAATCAGGAGTGCCACTGGGGCAGGAGTGTTATATTTGGCCTCACTGATGAAGTGATATTTGAGCTAAGGCCTGAAAGGGGTAGAGAATTTGTTAAATAGTCATCTAAAGAAAGGACATTTTAGCCGGGCGATGGTGGCGCACGCCTTTAATCCCAGCACTCAGGAGGCAGAGCCAGGTGGATCTCTGTGAGATCGAGGCCAGCCTGGGCTACCAAGTGAGTTCCAGGAAAGGCGCAAAGCTACACAGAGAAACCTTGTCTCAAAAATCAAAAAAAAAGAAAGAAGAAAGGACATTCTAGGTAAGGCAAAATGTTTGTGCGAAGAGCCCGAAGTAGAGCACAACTGGCATATTAAAGGGGTAGTGAGGAGACTAACATGGCCAAAGCAAAGGGACCAGGATAAAAACAAGAAGCAGATGAGACCCAGAGGCAATGGATGTCATATACTACAGACTTCTATACCATAATAATGGTTCTTTCTCTAAATCAAGGTTTTTCAACTTTGGCATTGTTAACTAGAAGAGTCTTGGTTTCGAGAGGCTGTCCTGTGTATTGTGGGCTACTCACCTGGATAACCCTATTATCCAGGGTTCAGTAGAAGCTAATAGCACCTACATAGGAGCTAGAAAAACAAAAAGGTCTCTATACAGTGCCAGATGTTGCCTGGTGGAAAGGTTGTCCCAGGTTGAGAACAGTGTTCTCAGTGAAATGTGGGCAAAAATAGGGATTTTTGACTAAAGGAGTAGCAATCTGATTTTTATTTATATAAAACCACTGGCTGGGCGGTGGTGGTGCACACCTTTAATCCCAGCACTGAGGAGGCAGAGTCAGGTGGATCTCTGTGAGTTCAAGGCCAGCCTGGTCTACAGAGTGAGTTCCAGGAAAGGCGCAAAGCTACACAGCGAAACCCTGTCTCGAAAAAAACAAACAGACAAAAAAAAAAAAAAAATCCCAGAGCCGGGCAGTGGTGGACATGCCTTTAATCCCAGCACTCGGGAGGCAAAGGTGGATCTCTATGAGTTCGAGGCCAGCCTGGTCTACAGAGCTAGTTTCAGAACAGCTAGGGCTGTTACACAGAGAAACTCTGCCTCGAAAAAAAAATTTCCTTGGAGCTGGGTGTGGTACACATCTATATTCCCAGAAATTGGGAAGTTGAGGCAGGAGGATGATAGCGAGTTTGTGGTCAGCCTGGGCTACATAGCAAATGCCAGGCCAGTCATAGCTAAAATAAACAAAACAGCAAACAAACAACAGCAACAAAACGGCCCTGAGAGGTCTGAGAATGGAGCTCAGCAGTAGAATGCCATTTTTGATATTAAAAGAAAGGCAGCAGGGTTTACACTGGATGAACAAACAGAAGAAGGCATTGTGATTGCAGAGCAGGTAGAATAAGAATGAATCTCTGAACGGAGAAACAGACCCTGGCATGAGAAACAAGGAAACATGGTGGTTTCGCCATCTACCGTACTCAATGGGGGACACCAATGGAAGAGCAAAGAAGGGAGGTCTGGGAAGTCAGCAATGCCGTGCTGGTGTGCAGGAGCGGTTACAAAGCTAGACAAAAAGGAAAATCAGCCCCCTCCAAGAGTTCCAGGTGTTCCGGGGGAGGATGGCAGAAGGGACAATTATGGGTGCAGCCAACCGCAAAGGAACAATGAGTCCAGAAAGAAACTGAACATGGATGGTCAGGGGTGAAGAGAGTTCCAACAAAATCTGAATAATTAGAAACCCACTTTAACTGATGCTAGGCTGCAGTATCTATAAGAGTACTTGAGTGTTTTTAATGTTCGGGTCTAGGGTCAATCCTTTCTGTTAAACTGGAAGTAAGAATTCCTTGAGAGTTGGTTATTTATAACTTACTTACAGAACTCAAATTGTCCAATCTTGTTAAACAAGAAATAGCGTTTAACTATCAAACATACCACATCTCAATGATCTACCACTACATATTACTGCATTTCATGAAGACTCTACCTGTGTTTACATTGCTCATAGAGATGCATCATGTGCCATACGGAAGCTACACTTTCTACACATCTACACACGTGCCCTTTGCTATCACTGATGACTTATGTAGCTCCTTGGATTTTTATTGACATGTCTGCTGTGGATTTAGAAATGTGTGAGAGAAGGAGAAAACGGAAAAAACGATTAAAGACTCATTCATAAATTGTGTAGTTACTGTGATAAGTAGTTTGAACTCTGCCTGATTAAACTTTCTCTGTGTAAAACAGACAGCAGAAAGAAAATGTACTCTGGATAAAGGTTACAATCACATTGAAAGAAATTGTTTCTCATCAGACTGACTCTTGATTTCAAAAGGAAGCCTTTTGCAACTCCTCAAATCTGAATTAGAGATTATCTTGCCAAATCTTGATGGAGAAAACTTAGCTTCCTCCTCTCACCCACTTCTTCCCTGGGAGCGTGACTCCCATCTGAGAATGGTACCCTCGCTGCTTTGGGCCTTCAAGGAATTCTAGCCTGATTTTAAAGGTTGTGAATTAAGGAAGAAACACCTAAGAAAGTGGAAAGCGTTTCCACTCCCAACATAGCTGTGACCATCAGCTACTCTGGGCAATGTGCAGGCACTGCTAAAGGATCCTCGGCACTTTCACTCACAAGAAAATGGGGTTACTTCTATTCATAATCCAGTCCAGCTTGTAAACAGCAGCACATAGAGAAGACAGCAGAGTATCAACAAAGGGAGACCAGGAAGCAGAAAGCAAAGAGGTTTTCCACGGCTCAGAAGGCACAAGTGCTCTCCGAACTAAGGTGTGCCCATTAGCTCCTAATGTTTCTCAAACCTTCCCAGGGAAAGTACACGGCGGGAGGGCACTGACATTAATATTAACAAGCTGCCACAAGCTTTCTCAGGACAGAAATACTTCACAAGGAATGTTCCAAAGAATGGTAGCCACCAACCATTCTGTATTTTTGGAGGTACCTCTCCTCTAGGTCTTGGGTGGGTCACAAAAAGTTAGGGCCAGAAGGAGTAATTTCAGAGTGAAAAAGTTTTTGATTTCTGGAAGCAGAGCTGTGACAGTACTCCACAGTCTAGGGATGGCTGTGAGCCTGTCGCTCCTGGCTTAGTGGGGGTGGGGATGAAGAAGAAACCACGCCAATCAGAGTCTTGACTTACTGCGCCTCAGTTTCTGAAGGAAGCCTCAGAATTGGTAGCCTTTACCCTCGTCTCCAGCTGTTTCTTAGCAGGCTAGACTTTCTTATTTAGATTCAACCAGCTCTGGCGACATGCCCTCACAAGGGACTGCTCCTCCCATGCCCCCACAATTCTTTCAAGTGCAAAAGAACTGTGAAAGAGTCTGGTGACTCCCAAGAGTGGAGAAAGGGGGACTGAAGCAGAGGAGACGACGCCTAGTCAGGCCCACGGACTTAGGCAAGACTCGCAGAATCAACAGCTGTCGCTGCTAGGAGCCCCGGATCGGTGGGAAAGAGGGTCGTGGGAAGGGTCATGGCCCTCTTTGGGTCTGCCCATCCTCCCTGAGGCTCCCATTCCATTCGGCTGCCCATCCTTACCTGAACGATTCTCGGACAGCACTTAACAAGTGCCACTCGCAAGTTAGCTTCCCAGGACCTGCGACTGGGGAGGGTCCATCAAAGCCTCGCCCTCTGGCGCCCTGCCACTCCCCCTATAAGCCACGCCCCCACCCCTTCGAGCACCGCTAAAGCCGCAGGGACCGCCCTAAACACGCCCCATTAGACCTGGCGTGCCTTTGCTCTCTGCCCTGACACACACCCCCTACGCAAGCCACGCCCCTAAGCCCGAGCCACGCCTCAGAGTTCTTCACTCTCCCCTGCCTCCCTTTCTCGCTTTGCCTGTGGCAGGCAATGTTTCTGGGACAAAAACATTATTTCTTGGATAAAATCAGACAGCTGGCCTAAAGCCTCTAAGTCTAAAAATTGGCTTTCCTCAAGTTTCGTCCATCTCTGAATACCATGATTTTGACATGCTAAAGTCGAAACGTTGGATGTGTTCTTTCCCACTACTTTTCAGCTCAATTTACCCAAGTTTCTAAACATCCTCTGAACTTGAACTGTGGGCTCATGTTCCTTTCAACCAGTTTTCATAGCCTTTAAACCGGGACTGTGAAATTGTGCTTCTAGCCCTTTGTCCTTATCTGACTTTAAATGCAAGGCAGAGGTACCAAATAAGCACTCTCCTCTATTTCCTGTAGTCTCTTACAGATGATTTTTTAAAGGCAACCAGTGCCCTCTTGATACGTAGGGACTGAGCATCTTGACATTAATCTAACTGAAATTGGTTGTGAGAGTACATACTCAGTTATCTTTCCTCCTTCCAGTCCAAGAAAAATGTGGAGAAGTTACAACCAGCTTTCTGCCCTTGTACTCACATCCCTGACTCATTCATTCAAATCACATTCATGGCGTAGATGCTCCTCTGGCAAATAAGACAAACCTCAGGGTTTTCTCTGGTTTGATGTTGCCCCAGCTCCAGCTGAGATGTGACTCCCCCTAAAAAAAATAAAATTCAAAAGGGATGATGTAGCAAGGAGTTAATAGGTGAAGAGGACTTAATAGTCACAGGTCCTCTCCTCCTCTTCTTTACCATGAATATGCATTTCTTCCCTTAAAATACTTTTTAAGATTAAAATTTTCTTTTCCATGTGGGTGAGTGTTTTGTCTGAATGTATATATTACCACCACATGCATATCTAGTTACCATGGAGGTCAGAAGAAAGCATTGGATCCTCTGGAACTGGAATTATGGATGGTTGTGAGATGCCATGTGGGTGCTGGGAACCAAATCCTGGTCTTCTGCAAGACCACAAAGTAATCTTAACCTTTGAGCCATCTCTTCAGCCCCTGAAAACACATTTCTTTAAAAAAAAAAAAAAACAGCTTTCAGGTATATTACACAAGAAGTAAACAAGTTTATCTTTAAAAAATACCAAGTATCACATCTATAGCCCACTCCTAATTATAATTACTTTTTATTTTGGTTTTTCAAGACAGGGTTTCTTTGTACAGCCCTGCCTGTCTTGGAACTAGCTCTGTAGACAAGGCTGGCCTTGAACTTATAGAGATCTGCCTACCTCTGCCTCAAGTGCTAGGATTAATGGCGTGTGCCACCACCACCTGGCTTATAATTACTTCTTAAAGCAACTGTCTTTGCTTACAAAGAGAGTAGCAGATGATAAAACCTAACATCTCCTATTGCTTATTGTTCATAATACAAGCATGTATGTATCTCAAATCACATTTTAGGTAGTTTAACAAAGTGAATAGACAGTAACATGCATTGAATTTCACAGGTCTTCTCAATCCCATTAGCAGGAATACACAGAAAGACATTTTATAGTACTTAGTACACTAGTTCATGCAACGAATTCCCCAAAAATCTTTAGTGAGTACCTACCTTTTCAAATGCACACAAAAACACAATTTCTGCCCTCATAGCTGTATGATTTGCTGGCTGGCTGTACTTCTTCATATCCTAATAATAAAGGCATTATGATTGCATATCAATTCTTTCTTGCCTCCTATTCCATTTCTGGCTTGAAGATGCTGAGAATAGTCAAAATGTTGTCCTTAAAAGAACACAGAGAAAAGAACACATCCCCACAGAGCATTTGATCAAACTCATCCTGGCCCTGAGAGCCCTGCCTCATTTGTAACATGTTCCAAGTGCAATTGTGTAAGCGAAAGAACTGAAGAACATAATGAGGGATTGTGTGGTAGAGTGGGAAATTGAGTAAGTGTGGATAATTAGAAAAGAGTGAGAACCAAAAAAATTTCTGAGTAAATGAGCACTTGTGGGAGAAAAATAAATGGGAAATAAAAAGAAAATGAAGCCTGGTGTGAAGGCATATACCTTCAATTCCAGCGGAAGCAGGTAGGTGTCTGCAAGTTCGAAGCCGGCCTGGTCTACACAGTGAGTTTCAGGCTAATTCAAGAATATACAGTGAGACTTGGTCTCCCAAAAGAGTTGGGGAGGCTGGCAGGTAATGGGAAACTGTGGGAGAAAGTGGACAGTTGTGAGAAAGACAGAGGCTGTGTTCTGGGGAGAAGAGAAGATCATGAAAAGAACAACGAACTGTAATAGAGGCAAATTTCTTCACATAATGGTTATAACTTCATTAATTTGGCTGGAACAAGGTATTCACATATTTGGTCAAAAACTATTCTGAGGACCGGAGAGATGGCTCATCAGTTAAGAGCACTTTCTACTCTTACGGAGAACCCAGGTTTGGTTATCAGCACCCACGTGGTGGTTCACAATCATATGTAATTCCAATTCCGGGAGAGCCAATGCTTTCTTCTGGCTTCCTCAGACACTAGGCACAAACATGGTACACAGACACACAGGCAAAACACCCATACACATATAATAAAATCAAATGATGTAAAAATAGAGAACAATGTAGTCAGTAACAAGATCAGAAAGTAAGAAAAATTCAGGCTTCGGAACACAAAGGGGAAACATTTTATTCAAAATGGGCTAATGGGTTGACTCTATGTTCCATGTGCCCCTATCAAGACAGTATGACAACAATTTGAAGATTCTTCCAGTGTTCACAAAATTAAAACCACAGCTTGGGTGCCGGGCGGTGGTGGCGCACGCCTTTAATCCCAGCACTCGGGAGGCAGAGCCAGGCGGATCTCTGTGAGTTCGAGGCCAGCCTGGGCTACCACGTGAGTCCCAGGAAAGGCGCAAAGCTACACAGAGAAACCCTGTCTCGAAAAACAAAAAAAACAAAAAAACAAAAAAAACACAGCTTGGTTTCTTTGTATGGCTCACTTTCATTGTCAACTTGACTGAATTTCAAATCACTTAGAAAATTGGTAGAGCACACATGTGGAGGTGTCCAAGGGTGTGTTTCCAGAGAAGATTGGGAAGAGACCCACCCTGCACATACAGCAGTGGACCATGAGCTGGTGATTCACACTGAATAAAAAAAGCGAAGGAGAAGGCAAGCCATACGCTGGTGGCCTTCTTAGTTTTAACTGTCAACTTGATGGAGCCTAGAGTCACCTAAGAAGGGAGTCTCGGTTAAGGGACTGCCCAGATCATATTGGCCTATGAATACATCCGAGAGGAATTGTCTTGATTGTTAGTTGATGTCGGGCCAAGCTTATGAGGGCTGCACCATTCCCTAGGCAGAAAGCCAGCTAAGCATGGGTCTGCAATTGAGCGAGCAAACAATGTTCCTCCATGGTTTCTGCTGTACTTCCTTGGCTGTCAATTTGTTCCTTGGTCGAAGGTATTGCTGTATGAAATAGCGAGGGGCCTGCCTGGCTTCAAGTTCCTGCTTGAATTCCTTCAATGATGGACTGTGACCTGCAAGTATAAACCAAATAGATCCTTTCCTCTTCTAAGTTGCTTTTGGTCAGTGTGTTTTAACTACAGCAGCAGAGAGAAAGTTGGAATAAGTGGAACTCCTCATCTGTCTGTTTCCTGGCTACCATATCATGAAGTGTCTCACTCTGCCACACCCTTCCTGCCATGATGGATTAAACCCTCTGAAACTGTGGGTGAAAATGAATCTTTCCTCTCTTAAGCTGTTTCTGTTAGATACTGTGGTAACAGAGACAGTAAAAGTACCCAATACACTTTGTTTAGTTGATTTTGGGAAGTATGTGCTTCTTAATCTTCAGTTCAAAGAAAAATCTCAAACTCTAATGAAAATGACATTGGGGGCTAAGCAGAAAACACGGATCCTAAAGGATCCCAAGACTGACATGGTGGCTGAGTGAGTAAACGTGCTTGCTGTGCAAGCCTGAAGACATAAGATTGATCCCTGGTACCCACACTGGAAGAACAGAGCTGACTCGCAAAAGAACTGCATACAGATTCCTTCAAAGTATACCGTTGTTACAATCACAAAGCACACTACATTAAGTCCATTCTACGTACTGTCCAAATGTTCCTGTCTAATTAAGTACAGTACACAGTTCTACGGTAGCATTTAGATTATTGTCCCTTAGGATGGCAAGCAGGTTTCAACGCACATTTCAACTTTGATCTGTTGACAGTAGCTGCCCATGTAAATTGTGCTGTGAAATTCTATGAGTCTAGTCTCAGAAGGAAAAAGTTCTGTGACTGACTAACAATGTCTGGATGGGTGGGTGGGTCTGGGAAACAACCCATGTAGCATCTCTAATTTGTAGCAACAGAAATTTTGTATAACATCTTTTACAGTCCTCAAAAATACTTATCAGGGGTTGGAGATTTAGCTCAGTGGTAGAGTGCTTGCCTAGCAAGCGCAAGGCCCTGGGTTCGGTCCTCAGCTCCAAAAAAAAAAAAAATACTTATCATTAGGCTGTTGACAGCTACACCATGGTAGAGAGCTCAAAATCAACATCACTGGCCAACATGTAAGGATAGAAATGTTGAGATACTAAATAATTTATATGCTTTATGTATCAAGAGGGAGTAATTTAAAATTCTGTTATGAAAACGACAGGATCTAAACAAAAAAGTATTTGGCCTGTCTTAATTACTTTTCTATTGCTGTGAAGAAACACCACAACCTAGGCAACTTAAAGAAGAAAGTGTTTAATTGGAGACTTGCTTACAGTTTCAGAGGTTTAGTCCATGGCCATCACGTTGGGGAGCATGGCAGCAGGCAGGAAGGCAAAGCAGGGGAGCAGTTACCAGAGAGCCTCCATCCTGAGACACAAGCAGAGGCAGAGAGAATGAAACCCCAAAGCCCAGGCCCACTGACACACCTCCTTCAACAAGGACACACCTCCTCCAACAAGGCCACCACCACCTAACGTTTTTCAGGTAAGTTTCACAAACTGGGCATTCAATGACCAAGCATTCAAACATATAAGTCTATGGAGGCCATTCTCATTCAAACCACCACATGGTCTAATGCATCCAACACTTCTTTATAAATACAAAGGAAGTTTGAATGGGCATGGCTAAACATTTTGGCGTAAACTCCAACAGTATGCCAAATTAGTACTTGTAGACACAAACCCCTGCCTCACACTTCCATGCATGGCTGTGAGAATTTAAAACAAGCATAATGTACCAACATCATGTAAAGATTTAAACATAATGTTCCAGAAGTAATGTAAATGACTGAACCTCTTAGGAAATAAAACGTTCAATATTGTTATTAACATACACAACTCTCTATGACTTAATGCTCATTCATAGACTGGGACCCACAAACAATTACTTGTAAATGCCTTAAATTCTCTCTTTAAGAATATAAAGTTACCCTGGGCATAGTGGTGCACGCCTTTAATCCCAGCACTAAGGAATTAGAGGCAGGTAGATCCCTGTGATTTCTATGATCCTTCCCCTTGTCATTTACACTAAAGCTATTTCCACATTCATATCTTCACTCATACCCCAACCGAGGGCCAGTGTCAGAGAATCCACTCTGTCCTCTAAGACCTGAGCCCAACTTGGCTTTGTTCACACACACACACACACACACACACACACACACACACACACACACACACACAGCAACCCTGCCCCTTCTCATGCTTCTCTGAGCCATCCTATCGGCAAGTCTTTTATTTTTATTTTATTTTTTTTGGTTTTTCAAGACAGGGTTTCTCTGTGTAGCTTTGCGCCTTTCCTGGAACTCGCTTGGTAGCCCGGGCTAGCCTCGAACTCACAGAGATCCACCTGCCTCTGCCTCCTGAGTGCTAGGATTAAAGGCGTGCGCCACCACCGCCTGGCTCGGCAAGTCTTTTTGAGTCAGCCTCAATGGGTGTTTATTTTCACTGTGAGCTGTCATTCCTTCTTCAGCATCTGAACCTTTACTCTGGGTTTCTTGTGACTAGCCTCTCCTGTAAGAAGTTCTTCTATTGCTTTTTTTTAGGAGTTTTTAAAGTGACAGTCCACCAGCTTTGGGTGCTCACCTTCATCTGTGTCCCTAGCATTTTTTCACATCCTTAGCATCCCTCTCTTGTCTGTGTGAACTGAAATTTCCTGGAAAGTGTGGCCTACAATTTGGTGCATTTTTTAAAGATTTATTTCTTTTATGTATATGAGTGCTCTATCTTCATATACATCTTTATGCCAGAAGAGGGCATCAGATCCCATTATAGATGGTTGTGAGCTACCATGAGGTTGCTGGGAATTGAACTCAGGACCTCTGGAAGAGCAGCCAGTGCTCTTAACCACTGAGCCATCTCTCCAGCCCCAATTTGGTGCATTTTTATATTTCTCAGATCCCATGATTATTTGATGGTTGAATATGAATGACTGATGCTAATCTAATACTGGAATTCTACAAGACCCAAAACTGTTGGGAATGATGCAAAGAAGAGAAAATTGTATGAAACTGGCATATTCAAAAGACTCATCAAAAAAGAAAGCCAGATGTCTTTTTGAGGGTTACTGCTGCTGTGATGAAACACCATGACCAAGATGGGAGAAAAGGTTTTGTTTGGCTTTTGATTCCACATCTTCTTTCATTATCGAAGTCAGGGCAGGAACTCAAACACGGCAGGAACCTAGAGGCAAGAGGTGATGCAGAGGCCATGGAGGGATGCTGTTTACTGGCTTGCTCAGCCTGCTTTCTTAAAGAACCCAGGACCACCAGCCCAGGGATGGTACAACCCACAATCAACTGCCTGCTCCCCCCACTTTCCCCACCATAGATAATAATTAAGAAAATGCCCTACAGGCTACAGTACAATCTCATGGAGGCATTTTCTCAATTGAGATTCCCTCCTCTCAGATGGCTATAGCTTGTGTCAAGTAGACATAAAAGTAGCCAGTACACTGGGTATGGTGTGCACATGCCTTTAAAACTGGGATTTAAGTTCCATACATGTAAGGTCAGTCACTTACATAGTGAGTTTCAATACAGCTCTGCAGAGAGACCTTGTCTCAAAAAACAAAAGAACCAACAAAAGAATGTAGTATTGGAGAATAAGAAATGGCTCAGAAGTTAAGAACACTGGCTGCTTTTCCAAAGGACTTGGGTTCAATTCCCAGCACCCATATGGTGGCTCACAATTGTCTGTAACTCCAGTTCCAGGAGTTCCCATGCCCTCTTCTGGTCTCCTAAGGCACTGCATGAAAGTGTTATACAGATACACATGTAGGCAAAACACTCATATGCATATGAAAAAATTTTTTAATTTAAACAATATAATGTTGGCAAAATTACACTCAGTTCATCTGAGTTAATTTTTATTTCGAAGGAGTGGTGATTAACTTTCCATGGAGTAAACAAAAAAGTCTGCGGGGGAGAAAAAGCAAAGTTCATATTGGTTACGCCTGCCTACCTGCCTGCTGACATGCTCCTCGCCATGATGATCATGGATTAACCCTCTGAAACTGTAAGCAAGCACTCAATTAGACGCTTTTCAGTGTTAAGTTGCCTTGGTCATGGTGTCTCTTCACATCAATAAAATAGTAACTAAGACAGTTACTGTGTGTAGTGTTGTAGTAAACATGGCAGGGTCAATGTCTCTTTCACATACCAATTTCATCTCCTTCACAGATATATCCAGGAGTGGTATGGTTGGATCACAAGGAAGTTCTGGTTTTAGTTTCCTGAGAACCCCACATTGTTTTCTAGGGTGTCTCTGTTAATCTGTAGCCTTTCAAACAATGACTGAAGCTAGGTTCTCTTTTCTCATCATCTCCATCAGTAAGTACTATCAGTATTTTCATAATGGCTGTTCTAACTGCAGTGACATGGAATCTGATTTTACTTTTGATTTGGAATGGATGAGTGGATGCCAGGGCCACAGGGCCATGGGAAGCGCTGAACCTTTCTGCAGCCTCCTCCAGCCCTGCTGCCCTGCCCTGTCTTGTAATTGAGCCATGCCCTTAGCTGGCCTGGCTGTACTACTTCACGTGCATTCCATGAAGGTAGCAGGGTTATTCCTATCCTCTAGATTTCCACTAGCCAAAGCCTTAATGGTCCTTATCTGCTTTCTCTCCTCCACTGCACTGGTTTAGAAGGCCTGCAGCTTCACCTTGTAAAGGTTTCTTGGTCTGTGCACACTGCTGTGTATGCACGTTCCACCGTTACCAATGACTGATTTTGGCTTCAGTGTAGAGACACACTTACCCACAGCCATGCAGCATACTGGTCCGACAAGCAGTTCTGAGTATGCTTCCCTTCCTGTAACCATCATAGGCCTTTCACTGGTTTCTTGTGAAGTCTGAACTCCTTGGCAGAGCCTGTAAGAACTCATTTTCCACCCTGCTTCCCTGGCTTCTCCCAATGCCTCCACACCAATTCCCTGCCACAGTCATCCCAGAGAAGACACAGATGTTCTGCCCGGTTCTCAGCATTGGTTCTTCTTCAGGTTGCTTTCTCCTCCTCTCCTCCGTTGGTCTGGCTTGCAAGACCTGGCATGAGGATCACCTCTAGAACTTCTCACAGAGTCTCCAAACTCCAGTGGTTGAATTTTCTGTGTTTCTTTGACACTTCGTGGTGATTCTTCTTTTGTGGTGCTAGGGATTAAACTTAAGGCCTCAAGCAACCTAGGTAAGTGCTCTTTCACTGAGCTACATCCAAAGCCCCACATTTTTAGATCCTTGGTCTGCTGCTCTTTCAACTGAGCTATCTCTGCCACATTTTTAAAAATAAAAGTTGTCCTTGCCCCTACTAATTTGTAAATTGTCCCTATTATGCTTCCCAGGGACACTTACCTCAGCTGACTGAGACAGGGCTGACCACGTACAGATGCTCAAAGAATATTTAAGATCAAATTTAGTTAGCTTGTGTAATGGACTGGGAATATAGCTTGGCTGGTAGAATACTTGCCTAGAGTCCTGGAGCCCTGTGTTCCAACCCCAGCATTGTGTAAATACGACTACAATCCCAGAGCTGGAGAAGTGGAGGCAGGAGGATACTCTGCTCTACTATGGAACAAAGAATCGCAATCCAGTGAAGGATTCATACATTAATTACTTTACCATTGTGTTGCCAAAATGTAGGTTCTGAGGACTAGTAACATCTGGTGAAGGATATTGGAAAACAGATACTCATATACTGCAAACAATGTGTATGTTGACATATTCCTTTTGAAAAAGTGAACACAGATTAAAATCTTACTTTTTGTATATCCAGATTCTTTAGTTTAAACATATACCAAAAACATTCATCAAAATGTGTGAAAATTTATCTGAATCTAGAATATTTATAACAGTGAAAAAAGAAATGTGATTCCCTCCCTCCAGTTTTTTAAAACAGGGTCTCATTATAGCTCATGCTTGCCTTGACCTCACCATATAGCCTACCTTAGCTGTGAATTCTTGATCCTCCTGCCTCCTGAGTGCTGAGATTGTAGAAATGTGATTGAAGAGCAGGAAGAAAATGTTTGTGTGTCTAACATGCCTTTGTGCCCTGATTGAAGTCTTTGTTAAATCTCTATCTCTGTGTATATTGACTTTTCCTTCTCAAGATAATTTCATCTATTTTTTTCAGGGTGGGAGTAGTTAGGTCAGCTCTTTCCTTAGGGACATTTCCATTGCATGCAACGTGACATTGCTAGAATGGCTGGGCTGGCCGCCTCTTCCTCTGGGACAGCTTTTCCTCTCTCATGTCCTTGGTGCCAAGGTAGAGCAGATAATAAAAGCCTTCCTCGGTGGGTTGAGCTAACAGAGGGGCCATCTCCAACAAAATCCCACCCTTGCTATGTCTCTCAAAGTGCTACATCACAGTTTGCACTTTGATGCTTTCAAACCAAATGTGCTAGTTGACATCAGAGCCATGAAATCTCATCTCCCATTCATGACTTTCCAGGAAGGAAGTGCCATAAGGGAAGAGAGGAAAGCCCAGCATAGACCCCAGGGGACTTCTACTGGCCTTGTTGGTGGGGTGCCACCCGGGGAGAGCTTCTCATCCCTGTAACTCAATCCTCAGAGTATCTCAGGGCTTGCTTGTAATTTCAGTTTGGACCTATTGGGATAGAGACACTGACTTAGTATGATGGTGAGACGTTTCAAGGTAAGTTAATGTAGCTGAGAAAGGGACAATCTTTCCACTCATGTCATTGCTAACTGCAACCTTCACACCAGATCAATAGTCCCCTGTGACTATTGGCCACCATACTGGGATAGCAGAGACAGCGCTGCCATTATACAGCATGGCTCCATTCCATTAATGTTGACTTTAGCCAACCACCAGACCTTGGAGTTAAACAAAACCATCTCCTTCAGCTGGGCATGGTGGTTAACACCTGTAACCCCAATACTCAGGGAGCTGAGGTAGAAGAATCACCAAGAGTTTAAGGCCAGCTTAGGCTACTTAGTGAGTTCCAGGCCAGCGTGGCACTACATAGGAAGCCTGCTTCAGTAACAACAATTACAAAAACCAAAACCACTTGCCCCAAGCCTGTGTTCAATCTCAGTGACCCGCATGGTATAAGGAGAGAACAGACTCACTTAAGTTGTCCTTTGACCTCCACACCTGTAGCAGGACATGTGTGTGCCATGCACACGCACACACAAACACACACACACTAAATAAATAAACATATAAAGCAAGCAAAAATGAACAATCCCCTTTGTTTGAAGAGGTCGCTGTCTTAGGATGCTTACCTTCTCAATGAAACACAGATGAGGACATCCTGGAACATTTGTACTTTCCTCATCAGATGAAAACCAGTGACATACGCCTCCCAACGTTGACAGCCCTTCTATGGAACAGACAGTTTGGTAGAAAAAGACAGGAAGTTTATGCCAAGAACCACCCCCCTCTTCCACACCAAGAGAAGACTCAGTTCTTGACAGCATCTGCTGAATCAGACAGCTATGGGGTGGGGGTGGGGGTGTCCCACTTTGAGTCAACTGAGAGAATACTGTTTTGACCTAGGGTCTGGAGAAAAATCAATGAGCCCGAACCCTTCCACAAATAATCAGTAGGAGATGAGCTGCTCTAATGAAAATATTAGCCCAAGTCATGGAGGTTAATTATTAAGCCTTTCAGATGCTGCTTTGCTTGTTTTCCTGATACCCTAATCCTGGCCACAGAACAACTAAACCCGCTTTGAGTGGAGGTTAGAGATTGTTTTTCCTGTTTGTCTCGTGTTTCAACTGACACAATGCTGTGGGTTGCCCACCCCACCTCCCCACCCCCACCTCTTTTCTTTTCCTTTCTTTTCTTTTCTTTTCTTTTCTTTTCTTTTCTTTTCTTTTGACTGTTGAGCTCTGTCAACAAGAAATTGCCTTGAAATTGAAAAGCAGATGAACAGTTTTGTGTGCAAGCCTTTGTCTTGAAGGATTTGTTCTCTCTCTCTCTCTCTCTCTCTCTCTCTCTCTCTCTCTCTCTCTCCCTCTCTCTGTCTCTGTCTCTCTCTCTCACACACACACACAAATGTATAAAAGACCTCCATCTCAAGTATTTATTTTTTCATTTTGTAAAATGTGTATGGCTGTTTTGCCTGCATGTATGTTTATGCAGCACATGGATACCTGGTGCTGAAGGAGGCCAGAAGAGGCATCAGATACCCCGGGAGGAGAGTTACAGACAGTTGTGAGCCATCAGGTGGATGCTGGGAATCAAACCCCCAAGTCTTCTGGAAGATTAGCCAGTGCTCTTAATGGCTGAACCCTCTCTCACACTCCTGCTTCAAGCATTTAATCTATATTACAAAATGGGCATCTGAACTAATGACAAAAGTAAGGTGTCACTTGGCTAGTGAAGTCACACGTGGGATGTAAAGATGTATTCAATTCAATTTTATGCATTTACTGAGTAGCTACTATGTGGAAAACATGGCAGGCACCTGGGCTGTTATGAGCATTTTTTTTTTTTGGTTTTTCAAGACAAGGTTAGTTTTGGTGCCTGTTCTGCATCTCGCTCTGTAGCCCAGGCTGGCCTCGAACTCACACAGAACCACCTGGCTCTGCCTCCCAAATGCTGGGATTAAAGGCGCACACCACCACTGCCTGGCGAGCATTCTTATGTATGTATTTCCCACATCTTTCTTTCTTGAGCATTTTTGGGGGAGTAGAATTGCAAGTCATCTCCTAAGCTCTATGTTTTCTCCTTAGTGCATGTGCTCCGTGCTCCATTTTGGATCCCTAGTCGAAACCCTACCTCCAGCACAGAAGCTTCCAAGCTTTTCCATTTATTCAAGATAAGTTGGTTCCACTGGCAGGTCTCCAAGCTGTGTCAACTGTGCTTTGATCTTAGTAGCTTGGGCTGTGTTTGGTGAAACTAAATAGGACTCCTACCCATCACCAGGCCTGAACAACCCATGGCAAGACAGAGGACAAGGTCAAGTAAGTTCTACTATCCAAGGGTCAATTGAAATCTATGTTCTGACAAGAGCTGGCTGACATCTTCATCTTTACCTCCTTCCTTCTTTCTCAACCACACACATCCTTCACCTCTGCATTCTGTCAAGGAGCTGTCCCTATCTGAACAGCTTATATCCACTACTGGTCAACAATGGTCTTTCTGATTTCCAAGTGTTCTAGTTTCATCTGTTGCTGTGACAAACACCACAACCAAAAGCAAGGATGTCTTAGGGTTTATATTGCTATGAAGAGACACCATGACTACAGCAACTCTTACAAAGGAAAACATTTAATTTGGGTAGGCTTATAGTTCAGAGGTTTAGTCTATTATCATCATGGTGGGACATGGCGGCATGCAGGCAGACACAGTGCTGGAGAAAGAACTGAGAGTCTTACATCTTGATCCACAGGCAACAGAAAGTGAACTGATACACTGGGTGTGGCTTGAGCATATTTGAGACCTCAAAGCCCACCTCCACAGTGACACAGTTTCTCCAACAAGGTCATACCTACTTCAACAAAGCCACACCTCCTAAAAGTGCCACTCCCTATGAGTTTATGGAGGCCAATTACATTCAAACTACTACAGAGGAGAAAGAGTTTATCCAGCTTACATTTCCAAAATACAGTATACCATTGAAGGAGGTCAGCCAAGGAGCTCAAAGCAGGAATTTGAAGCAGAAATCATGGAGGAATGCTCCTTGCTGATTCGCTTCCAGGCTCATGCTATATAGCTACACAGCTCAGGACCACCTGCCTGGGAAATGGTGCTGCCCACAGTGAGGTGGACCCTCCTACATTAATTAACAATCAAGACAATATTCCACAGACAAGCTTATAGACTGATTTGATCTGGGCAATCCCTCAACTTGGATTTATCCTCAGGTGACTCTAGGCTGTGTAAAGCTGACAGTTAAGGCTAACTAGGGCACCTAGGTTGTAGATTTGAGGTCTTGCTATATTTCTGTCCCTTTAACAGGGAAAGGAGGAACAAAGTGGAGAATGAAAATCTAATAAATTTGTCCTTATATTTGCCAAAGTAGTTTTGAGTAAAGGGAATCTTAAAGTTATTCACTAAAATGAGGATTAATGGTCTGGAGATATAGCTTGGCTGTTAAGAGTGCTTGTCTAACACGAATGAAACAGACTTTAGTCTCTAACACTACATATACCAGGTGTGGTGGTACATGCGTGTAATTCCAGCACTTAAGAAGCTGAGGCAGGAGGATCAGAAGTTCAATGCCATCCATGGTAATATAACATAACAGGTTTAAAGTTCAGCCTGGGTCACATCAGATCCTGTTTCAAAAAAAGCACTTAAATTTTATTTCTATTTCTATTTCAGAAAGTTATACTTTCCCTGCCCAAAGTTAAGACTCAAGGGAGTTATTTCACTGCATCAATGCAATGTAAATTACTTTTTAAAAATGCATCTCTCTATCTTTGTTAGTCAAAAGGTGCATGACTTTAATCCTAGCACTTGGGAGGCAGAGGCAGGTAGATCTCTGTGAGTTCGAGGACAGCCTGGTCTACAGAGAGAGTTCCGGGACAGCCAGGAGTATTACTGATGACTGTAAGCGTCCTTAGCGTATGCTCTTCAAGGTATCTGTAGCCTAGTGGTGACATTGGAAATACATGTACAGAGGAAAATACTATTGACTACCTTGATAATAATATGCAATGATGGGGCTTCTTTGTTAGTCAAAAGGTGACTTCTCTGTGGAAGATCTATTTAAACTGAGACAGGACCCTCCCTGCAAGGGGTAAAGGCTTAAGGCAGAGGAGTTGGCTCTTAGCAGGATGCCCTGGATGGAGGGACATGCTGATCATGCTGCCAGGTCATGCGAGATCAAGAACACTGCTGTCAAGGGGGATGAGGAATGAGGACTGCTTAATGAAGGAGGATGTTGGGGATGCAATTCAGGTGCTGGGCTGGATTCCACATGCACTGCCATAAAGGAGGCTATAGCCCTCCATGATCACCCTTCTCCTGTGGGAAAGGAAACCATATAAAGCAATGTAAGATTGAAAGTCTCTTCTAAGAACAGGTGTCTCTCGTGAGCATGGTGGACAGATGGAAAACATCAGTAGCTTGGCCACTGAATCAATTGGTTAATCTGCTTTTCAGAGGTGCCAACATGGTGCCAACATGGGCAGAGTGCATCCTGGATGGTATGTGTAAGGGGCTCAGCTGTTTCCCTTCCAAGTTCCTATGCTGAAATCCTAATTCTCTGTATCTAAGAATGTGACTGTATTTGAAGGTGGGGTCTTCAAAGAGGTCATTAATGTAAAACTGTGGTCAGTGGGCTGGACTCTAGTCCCATATAACTGCCATTCTTCTATGAAGAGAAAGCTGATGCAGATGTGAACACAGGGAGAAGACACTTGTACCTGGGGGTTAGCCTGGGGAGCATCCTTACTGCTGCTGTAACCACAGTTGAAAGCCTGCTTGCTATCCATTGAGCACAGATTAAAATGATGGGTACCACGAGGTGTCAGCAAACCATAGCCTGAGGGACAAGAGCTCACAGAGTAATGACAGCTTAATATTTTAAATGGCTCAAAATTAAAAAGATACGTAACACCTGAAAACTATCTGAATTTCTAGTTTCAGTTTCCACACTCAGTGTTTTACTGGACTACCACTTCAGGCAGTTGTGTTATCTGTTGTCTAGAGCCACTTTCCTACTATAAATGCAGAGTCTGATTGTCCCCAGAGGCCATACCCGCACTCTGAAATCTTTAGCTTCTGGTCCTTTCAGAGCAGCTGTTGGTCTCTACAGAAGACCATAGTCTGATCCCAAAGGAAACAAGTCTAACTAGGAAGGGGATATGTTGAAGCGATCATTTCGACAATACATTGTAATATGTTTTTGATTTTTTTTTTGAGCTAGTATCTCATGTAGGCCAGTTTGGCCTTGAGCTCACTATGTAGCCAAATGAGGGGAGTATAGTTGTGGACCACCATGCCTTATTTATGCAGTGCTACAGATCAAACTCAGGGTAAACAATATGACTTTCAGAGCCAATTGCAGAATGAAAAGTGAAAGCTTCTTGTTAAAAAATAATAACGAATTCAGAAACTGTGACAGCAGAGCCTTAAACCAAAGGTGGAGCCCTTGTGACTGCACAGGTCTCATGCCAAGAAACCAACCTAGCTTGCAATGATAGGCAGATGAACTAAATAAGTATGGAAATAATGCAATCTCCTGGAAATTATGCCCACTTGAGTGCACATACGTGTGTGTGTATGTGTGTGTGTGTGTGTGTGTGTGTGTGTGTGTGTGTGTGTGTGTGTGTGTTTCTCCCCAGCCCCCTTTGGAGACACAGGCTACAGTAATCTTACCACTTCAGCATCCCAAGGACTACTGGCATTCCACTCATTGTATCTGGC